TTCAGCGGACATCGCTAAAACTGCCGTGACGACTCCATTTGGTTTGTTCGAGTTTCTGCGCATGCAATGTGGTCTAAAGAATGCCGCGCAAACTTTTCAGCGCTTCATAGACTAAGTTTGTCGCGGTTTAGACTTCGCTTACGCGTATCTTGATGACATTTTAATCATAAGCACTTCACGAGAAGAGCACATACGCCACGTACGAACACTTTTTGATCGTTTATCTCAACACGGGATGACGATCAACGCAGAAAAGTGTTCGTTTGGTGTCGATTCAGTCAATTTCCTAGGCCATCGTATCTCCTCTGCAGGCGTCATGCCACTGCAGGACAAAATTCAAGCCATCATCGACTACCCTGAGCCTCATTCTTTCAAACTGCTCATACGTTTTGATGGCCTTGTCAACTTTTATCGACGATTTATACCCAACTGCGCCTCGCCGATGCAACCCCTCACGGACGTTCTCCGTAGGAAACTCAAGAAATTCGATTTTCCGGCCTCAGCACGCGCTGCTTTTAAGTCGCTGAAAGAGGCTATCGCCAACATAGCTTCCATAGCGCATCACGATCCAGCCGCCCCACTGTCCCTCAGTACTGACGCCTCGGACGTTGCAGTCGGCGCTGTTTTGCAGCAACGAGTAGCAGACACGTGGCAGCCCTTAGCGTTTTTCTCCAAACGCCTACAACCTACCGAATCTCGCTACAGCACGTTCGGTAGAGAACTACTAGCCGTATATCTAGCGATACGTCACTTTCGATACGTCCTAGAAGGCCGTTCCTTTGTCGTCTTCACCGACCACAAACCCCTGCTTGGCTCGACTACCGACAGATACTCTCCTAGAGAGTCGCGCCACCTTGACTATATCACTCAGTTTACGACCGATATACGGCATGTCTCAGGTGTGCACAACGCCGTCGCCTGTGCACTTTCCCGCATCCAAGCTATCTCCGCTGACGCCGGCGCTGCTATCGACTTGGTAGCCATGGCCACAGCACAACTCAACGATCCTGAGGTTGATCTACTACGCAGGTCTCCCTCATTGGACATACGACCCATTCCGCTGACATCATCAGACGGCACTATACTCTGCGGTTTATCTCTGGGCACGCCGCGCCCAGTCGTCCCACGCGAGTTTCGTCAGACCGTGTTCGACACGTTGCATGGCTTGTCTCATCCAGGCGTTCGTGCATCGGTTAAACTCGTAACCGCACGATTCGTTTGGCGCAATGTTAATCGGGACGTCCGCACTTGGGCGGCTGCTTGCCTTTCGTGTCAACGCGCGAAGGTGAACAAACACACGAAAAGCCCATTAGGCACATTTCCGACGCCAGGTGCACGTTTTCACCACGTGCACGTCGACCTTGTAGGTCCTCTTCCGCCTTCGAAAGGCTCTGTGTATCTGCTGACCTGTGTCGATCGATTCACTAGGTGGCCGGAAGCTATTCCCATGCCTAACTGCTCTTCGGAAACAGTAGCGAAAGCTTTTCTGGAGCGCTGGGTAGCTCAATACGGCTGTCCCGCCATCGTGCCCACCGATCGAGGGTCACATTTCTCGTCGACATTTGCCATGTTGCTTAAGGATTTAGGCTGTCGCCACGTTCAGACGACGGCGTATCCTCCGGCCGCTAACGGCATGGTGGAGCGTTTTCACCGCCAGTTGAAGGCAGCACTACGTGCGCACGCAGATCCTTCATGGTCTGAAACGCTTCCCCTCTTTCTCCTAGGCTTAAGAACCACGGTTAGAACGGACTTCGACGTCACACTAGCGCAGCTAGTCTACGGTTGCACGCTGCGATTGCCCGGACAGCTGGTAGCACCAGCCCCATGTACTTCCACTTTTGACTACGGAAGTTACACTGATCGATTGGCTCACCAGATGCGTGAGCTGCATCCACCCGCTCCTCGATCGCAGAAGATACCGGTGTACGTGCCCGAGAAGCTGTCTACGTGTTCACACGTCCTTCTTCGCGCAGACGGTGTTCGACAGCCTCTTCAGTCGCCGTACATAGGACCCTTCAAGGTGCTGCATCGTGCGAGTAAGGCGTACACCATTGACCGCGGTGGTCGACACGAAGTCGTCACCATCGTCCGTCTAAAACGCTTTCATGGAAGAAAACCCTGCTACTTCGTCTAGTAGTGCCTCGTGCGACGTCACAACACCGCACCAGTTTTCCGCATGCTAATGAAGTCCAACCAGACCACGATCACGGTCTTCAGCCGTCCCGACATCTCCTGAACCTAGTCCGCCGCCTCCCACGACCAATCGCCGTGGTGCGTAAGCCCGTTCGTTTCTCCGACTATGTACAGTGTAAATACTTTTGACTTTGTAGATATTGTATATATTTGCCCTATTTTTGGTCGATTAACGTTTTGAAAACAAACAAAAATATCAAAAACCCCGAAAAACGTTTTTCAAAAAAAATAATCAAAAAACCAAAAAATTTAAACACGCAGATCATTCGTTTGTTCTTTTTGGCGTTTTCTGCGCGTGTTTTTCTATTTTCTCGCCTCTACATGCCCCAACCCCCCCTTCGATCGGCTGGCCCACACGAGGAGTGTTTTCGAGGACCCTGCCACGAACGCTGGTCGTTTCTCCGCTGGACGAGTGTCGCTTCTCCGCGGGACGAGTGTCGATTCTACGCGGGACAAGGGTCGCTTCTCCGTGGGACCATGGTCGTTTCTTCGTGGGACGAGGGTCGTTTTGGCGCGGGGCGGGATGCGGCGGGGGGAGAGGCCACTCCCAAGCGCACCGTTTGGCAGCAACGGAGGTTCAGGTCCTGTCGGCCTTTTTCTGCACTAGCCAGTTTTTTTGTAGTCCTACAAGCCCGCTCCAACGGCTCGCCGAAATGCACCCTGCCCTGCAATCAATAGATGACAAATCATAAACGGCACAGCGGACTCCGACTTCCGACGAACCCCCATTTACACGAACGCACGCTCATTTTTACTCTGCACGATTTTGCCTTACGAACCTTGTTTCAACATTCCTTTTCGATTTC